TTTAGGCTAGTCCAAAAATCCAAATTTAAATTTAGGGTTGTTTTATCTATTCATACATTCAAATAATCTTTACTCTTTTTAATCTTTACTTCTAAATTGTCTACACTGAAAAGCCCAATGGGGAGTTGTAAATAAAGTATTGTATTGTATTGCATTCTATAGGGTTTGTACTGTTTAATAAACGAGCAGGAGTGTTTTATCGGGTATAAAACACGAGGCGTAGCCGAGTGGTTTTAGACCCGATAAAACACGACCTGCAAGTTTATTGAACGGCTTAGAAAACTCATGATGTATGTTCTCATATTGTACTAAATTCTTTACGAAATGAACCAAGTTTGATAGAGAAAATCCAAGTTAAAGTTTATGCAAATGAAGACGAATCTATATCCGATATAAAATCACCTTCATGGTCATGATTTCTATTGTGTTTTCCTCATGAATTATTAATGAGTTTTCTAAATTTAAGTTAACTGGACTTTATCCAATCTTGAACAAATCATATGACCTTTCGTCCAACCCAGACATCAATGTATATCCGAACAGTAGCATGATTTGTACGTGATATGATTCATGTCACAAAATATGTGAAATGTCAGTACATGTGCTTAGAATTAGAACATTAGGATAACATCATGTGCTTATTTCACATTACTTGTGACTATAATTTATATTTTGGGGTGTTTGGGTATTTCTTTCTCGGCTTTACTACTGATATTTTGATCATAAACTACAAAGAAATGTATGGAGTGATGTTCGATGTTGAGTGTATGACGCCACAGACTCCAAAAAATAATCGTAAAAATATCATACTTTCGCCCTGAATATCGAGAAAACACTTCATACAGTGATTATTGAACCTTTAAAGAGGTTCCTTAGGAAGTTTCAGCTGAATCCAAGTTTGAGCGATTTTCGTCGGAGTAGCACTTTAATATTGCAATTTTTATGGCAACTATCATTATGAGCCAATATACTACATAATTATCATTACCTTGAAAAATTTTTCCTATAACAATGCACTAAATATGGAGCGAACAAAACTTACTTATTCTATAAAAGAAATTTTTTTTTAGATAAATCAATAATCTTGATTTTGATTGGGGTCTGTATTTTGAAAAGAGCTGAACACTGCCATGATACGGGGTGTATTCTATAATTGCTCCACTTTTAACATTATAAACATTTAATTCCAAAGCGGAAAACCTTTCTTATACTTACTCTTTCTAGTAAACAACGAAAGTTTTCATCTTTGTTTGGTGCGTTCACGAAGCTCCATAGAAGTTTCTCGATACTAGTATATAGACTCTTCGATTTCAGTTTCTCGAAAACGTGGCGTGCTTTGCGAGTAGACTCTTCCACAGTCTCTCGCTCGTCCGTTCCGTCTCCACGCTTAGAGACTGTAACGGTACAATGACCGAAAGGACTTATGGGTCACGAAAACTTGGACCCAGCGTGCTTTGGGAACCAAAATACTCATCCACAGTCTCTCTCGTTTTCGCCGCCATCTTGAAAATATTGAAACAAGAGATATGACCACAGGGAGCCCGGCTTTAGAATTTGTAGATGAATAAATAAGTCAATAATGTACTTTGGGTTTCCTGTGTTGAGATTTGAAACAAGACGCTGATACGTTGAATTTCCGGTAATTCAACGTATCAGCGTCTTGTTTCAAATCTCAACACAGGAAACCCAAAGTACATTATTGACTTATTTATTCATGTACAAATTCTAAAGCCGGGCTCCCTGTG